TCCTCTCAATCTCTTTCTGTCACTCTCACTGGTTCACCTCAAAAATACAAATGTCATACATGGGTTAAATTTTTTTTTGATTCTGTTTCTTTCCTTGCTTTCTGTCACTCTTACTGGTTCACCTCAAAAATACAAGTCATACACGAGTTAGCTGCAACTTAAGCAACAAAAAAAATTGCAAAGAAAAAAATTGTTTTTTTTTTTCATTTTTTTGGGAGTGTCACAGGCTGTGAGCAACAAAAGAAAAAAAAATAGAGAAAAACAAAAAGAAAAAAAAAGAAAAAACAAATGAACAAATGAAATAAAAAGGAAATATATATATATTATAAAACAAAAAAAAATTAAAACCACTTTTGCAAACTGCTCAACAAAAAAAAATTGAAAAGCAAAAAGAAATGTGATTTTATTTTTTCATATTTTTTGGCAGTGCAAGCAGCAAAGGAAGAAAAAAAAAAGAAAAAAAAAATGAAGGCTTGCAGGCTACAAGGACTTCAAAATTGGTGTTTATGCAGCCCCCCAAATCTGAAATTTCCCCACATAACATTCATTTTGCACCCTAGGGGTCATTTAAGGGGCGGATATCCGCGGATATCCGCGCGGATACCCGCCAGCGCGAGCGGATACCCGCCGGCGGATGCGGATGTCTGATTCCGCTGAAAACGCGAGCGGATATCCAGATGCGCCGGGCCCATCTCTAAAGAAAACCCCATAGGTAATCGAGTAAAACCCAACATCCGGGGCAAAAACAAGCAGCCTCCCCAAATTTGGGGGCATATACTAGTTTTCTATGTATTTTTGTAAATTTTTGTCAGAAACTGGCAGCTTGGCAAAAACTCTAGTCCAATGCATTCCACATGATCACCATTGATTGTTTGGATTAAGACCATCTCCACCGCGGCTGCTAAACCGCGCTGCTAAACCCAATATAGCAGCGCAAACTCAATTTAGCAGCGCCACCGCGGCTGCTAAACTGAGAAATCCCGCCTCTCGGCTGCTATCCAGATACCAAATATAGAACAGGATAGCAACCCAACCTGAATCCAACCTTCCAAGTATCACAAGAAATTCTTGTGATTCTTCAACCCATCGCTGCCCCCATATCCCCCGATATCCAAACCCATATCCCTCCATCCAACACAACTTCCCAAAAATCCCGATAACCGACAACTTCACAGCCATCAAAATGGCTTCAGCAGCTCCCAACAATGTCCTCGATCCCCTTCTTCAAGACCTTGGAGCTCAACAAACCGAAAGCCAAAGTCAAACCGCCGAGAGCCAAGCTAGCCAAACCGCCGAGGGCCAAACTGGAGACGATGTTGGAACCAAACGGTCGGCCAGTTACTCAGAGAGCGAAGATGTCCAGCTCTGTCGATCATGGATCGCTATATCGGAGGACCCTTTGATTGGTACTAATCAGGATGGTGCGACCTTTTGGAAACGCGTGCACCAATCCTTCTCGAAAGACCTCCCAGAATCTCGTCGAACACCCGGTAGTTTGAAAGCCCACTGGGGTGCGTTGCAGAAAGTCGTCAGCAAGTTCCGAGGTTTTGTCAACCAGGTCGAACAATTTGGCGAAAGCGGTGCTTCGGCCGAAGATTGTCTAAACCGCGCACTCGAACTCTTCTCCACTGACCAGAAATGCTCATTCAAGTACCTTCGATGCTACAACATCCTCGTGAAGATCCCAAAATGGAACAGTTATACTGATGAGAACGGAAAAAAGAACCGACCACCAGCTCAAAAGAAACGAGCTAGAAGCCCGAGTAGTGACGCCCCCGCCTCAACCGCTTTTACCTCGGAACCAGCTTCAGATGCTGAAGCCGACACCACCGATACCTCTTCTGCTCAACGTCCTATTGGCAAGAAGAAGGCCAAACTTATCCATGAACTCTCCGCGAAGGATGACGGTTGGAAGGGAATGATCGCGCGCGCTCACGAGTCGGTCGCAAAGGAATCAAAACACCAGAACGACATATTTGATATGGAAGCGAAGTCCTTGAGTGAGATGGCTCAGACCGGTAAAACCAACACCCAAGTCTCCATCATGGACAAAGACCTAACCAACCTTGATGAGGATTCTAAAGAGTATTTCCGATTAAAAAAAAAGAAATCTTAGCGTCTCTTCGATCCAACCCCTCATCTTCTTCATCTTAGTTGCCTGCTCCTGTTTGATTGACTGAAGACCTTGTTTCATTACTCCACTACCACTACTCCGGACAACCGATCACCTTGTTTTTATTTTATTGAACTATGATCCTCCAAACTCCTCATGTTGTTTCCTAAACACCTCGCACCTCGCATTAGTGAACTATGATCGGCCAAACACCTCATGTTGTTTCCTAAACATTCCTATGAATAATTGAAAAAAGGAAATGCAAATCTTGCTTGTCTGCCTAGCTTTTCTGCATGATTCATGTGAGACCAAGAATTATTTATTTGATCTTTTCATTTCAAAATCAATAAAAAGGAAATTGAGAGAAAACAGTTGATAGGAAAGAAAATAGAGAGAAAGCAGTTGATAGGATTGATTTCTACTTAAAAGAGAAAACAATCGATAGGAAAGAAAATAGAGAGACAACAGTCGATAGGAGCGATTTCTACTTAAAAAGAAAATAGATAGAACACAGTCAATCAGATCGATTTCTACTATTCGGCATCCTCCTGTCTGCCTTTCACATCCCACTGATGTTTGATGAGATCGTGTCGCAGCTGTAGGTGAGCTTCAATGTCTTTCATTGAATGAAAATTATCGATGAATTCTGAAAACGATATTCGGTTATCTCGGACAACTTCAACTGGTGTAATAACCGCGGCCGGATTCTGATCATAGACATATTCGAGGTAAGACCCTCGCTCATCCTCCACAATCATGTTGTGGAGGATGATGCACGCTTTCATGATCTTTGTTAAGTTCCGATGTTTCCATCCCCGTGCAGGTCGAGATACGATTGCGAAGCGTGCTTGAAGGACGCCAAAAGCCCGCTCGACATCCTTCCGGCGACCTTCCTGCATTTTAACGAAATGCTTCTGTTCAAGGCCTCGTGGCTCTGATAGAGTCTTCACAAAAACCGCCCAATCTGGGTAAATCCCATCGGCGAGGTAGTAACCTTGCGTGTATTGATGCCCGTTGATAGTATATTCGCATTTAGGAGCCTCGCCATTGGAAGTGTCCCACAGTGCTCAAAAATGGATCCTCATCCTCTGGTGATCGGATTTCTTTTTGTTCGGATATGTGGAATGATCCAATCTCTACATTGCAATATTTTCTAGGCAATCACCTATCAAAAAGGGTTGTGGGCTTGCACATATGTAGAAAAAGCTTCTGATTCTAATGATGCCATGGGCGAAGGGCAAGTCACAAATTTTGAGGAGGGAAACTGGCTGAAAATGGTTGGTCCCTCTCCAGCCAACAACAGCACATCAGTCACAAGTCCCTCTCTTGCAGGAGGGTGCTCGCGGGGGGGGGGGGGGTGCTCGCGAGTCGTGCCCCGCGAGCACAGGGAGGGACTTGCGTTAAGTTAGCCTGCGCCCACATCGCGCGCAGCTAAAATACGCACTGCTGCGGTTTCACGATGTCGCTCCCACAAGCCGGCCCTATCTCATTGGGGTTACAAATTGGAACCGATTCGCGCACCACTCCACCAAGCGCCAGACCACCGGCCGGGGGACAAACTGGTACGTTTTTTTGCAACATGTCTCCCAACTTCTCCATTTCCACTACGTTCCCTTAAAATATGATGATACTTTGTAATTTGCGTTTGATGTGGGCGGACCTGTTCATTCTTGAACAAAAGAGCGTGCACGCCTGCATTGCTTGGTCCGCTCATAATGAGACATCTCAAGATCCATTGTCTGACTCCTCTCGCAACAGTTCTTGATCAATCTCTCCTACTCCCCTTACCTCGTTGACTGACTCTTTTTTTATTTTTCCTATTCGCTTGTGACTTAAAGTTGGTCAGACTTACTCGTAGGGTTCTTCAAGTATCGTATCTTGAAATTTTGGGTAACAAGTATCCGAGCGTTGGATTATGTAGTACATACTATGTAAATTTCCCTTTGTGAGCAGAGCAATGAAGAGCCACCCCCTCATGACCATGCTACTCGTCTCATCTCTTTTCAACTCATCAACCACGTTATCGTTGATTAAGGTCTATATCGCTACTTGAGCTCATCCATCTGATGCACGGTTGATCTTGTATATACCCTCGAGAATAAAGTAAGCATTGATGTTAGGAAAATGTACATATTTAAATGCTTTTATGCCCAAGAAACGTGAGCGCATTTTCTTCATATCGTTTCACCCCACCTCAAGTTCAACTGGATCAATGGTCTTTCTGCTTGATGCATAGGGAGTTGAGCGTAAGGTACCCCCAGGCAAGCTTAACATATGTAAGCCTCTCCTTCGGTCGGGGCCAAATGGCCGACCCCGCGTCCCGAAGGGACGGCGCTTCGCGCCCAGCGACAGTGTTACAGTGTCCTCCCACCAAGCAGGGACTTGTGTTAAGTTAGACCCCAGGGGGAGCTCTTTGGGTGGATGTCAGAGAAAATCAACCTTTACTATGCGACAAGTAACGATTTGAAACAGCAAGCCAAAAGACGGCAGATGAGATCAAGCCAAACGCAACACTGGTTTGGGATTCGGAATCATTTCGTTGTGGGATGGGAGTGGACCCGGGTGGACATGGTACGTAGCTGAGTACATTGTGTCACATTTTTCAACGCCCAGGGCCCTCCAAGGGTGGAGGAGAACCTTGTTTCAGATCACGAAGCAAGCGCTTCGGGTCGATTCATTCAACAGCTGTTGAAGTTATAAGCGGGCTGTGGGCCTTTCAGAAAGGTTTCGTATTTTGGAAATGTAACAAAACAGGTGGTGCGATGGTGTCATGGTCTCATGGTCTCATGTCCAGGTGGCATTCGATTCCGTCCGGCACATGGCCTCATATTTAGACGCTTCGTACCTTCTCTGGAACTGTGAATCAGCGCCGCCGCCCACTTGTTGACTTTGGCATCCACTTTCAGGACATAACCGCATAAAGCGCTGAACTTGCGGCATTCTGCTTGCGGGAGATCCACAGCTCATTAAACGTTCAAACAACATGGTGGTCCTATCGAAGGGTTTGCTTCTCTGCCTCGTTTGGCACGTAACAGGCCCGAATCTATTTGCACTATCTACTCTGGTTCACGAGGCCGAAGAGTCCATCGGTAAGTGCACAACTAATTCTTGCCTGGTTGCAATTTCGAAATCATCAGTTTTTGTCCTTTGTGATCCTCTTTACTTACTCAAAGTTACATTGATGTCTATATCGGTGTCAGGCAGACCACCGGTGGTTCTGAACGACCAAAATGCATACCGGCTGACCTTGTTAGACGAAAATGAGCTTGATCAACACTATCCAAGTGAATACGGTAGTATTCCACAAGAACAGGCTGAAAGGAAAGGTGAGTTTACGTGTGGATTGTTTGCTTCCTTGGCTTAGACTTGCTTCACAGGTCAACCCCGCTCAAATGTGATGACTTTTATTGCTACAGCTGAGATTGAATCGATGAAAAATGAACACGAGAAAATTGAGAAACGCATCAAGCAGCTCAAGGCGTTACCGGGGCAAACCTCTAAAGCTAAAGCCCTACTGAAAGAGCTTCATAAAAATCTCGATATTCCAATGAAAGAAAGATTCCTTCAGCTCAAATTGACACCGACCCAATCGCCGGGAACTAGTTTCAATTTGGAAGCAGATACGAACCAATTGGAAAATACTTGGAATGTCTTACAGACACAGCTCATTCGAACCGTATACAGTAAGAAGCATGTGAACCCCGCAGAAGCAGACTTCGTGCTTGAATTTACGAAGTCCTTCTTTCTTTTGGGCGACTACATCTACAAATATGGACTGCTGCCCGCACCGTTTATCAAACAAATCGAAATCTTCCACGGACCCACTATCTTCGACATCATTTCGCGCCACATAAACTATATGTTTCGTGGAAATCAGGGAAACTTTTTTGACCATGCCGAGTCGGTGATTCCTCAGCTAGAGTTTTTAAAAACTGCTCCGTCTGTAAAACATTTCCACAGAACTATAAAAGGTCAGGTTTTTCATTTGATTCTTTTTTTTAATAAAACATAAATCTGTTAATCCTCTATGTGAACATTAAAAGAGAATATTACTTTCTCCGCGTTGCCGACTCATTCTGCCCATCAGTCCAAGATTTTGAGTTGCGCTTACTGATACCTACCGATGTTTTCTTTCACTATATACAGCCCTCCCTGATTTGTACGATATGTATGTCGTCCACTGGGCGCTGGTTTCAATCATGTTAAATGCGAAATCCCACTTCGCTACCCAGAGCGCCAGTGGCAGATTTGAAGCTATTCGCAGTGGATTTGTCGAGGTTACGTTTTTGAATCGAGCGCAGCACCTTTTATCAGAATTGAAGCAAAATCCTAATCTGAATTATAGGCTCGAAAGTGAAAGTATTTCAGCAGTCAATCTTATAGGGGATATGGCCAACTATTTTCAAAAACCGCCGGCGAACACACTCTCGAATCAAAGGAGGCTGGAATTTCAAATAGTTTTTTACGCTTTGGATTTCCTGGACCAGCATTGCCAGCCGCTCGTGGAGGCAATGGTACGAAGGGGAGACATCAGGTCGCCTTTCCGCAAGCAGTTGAGATATATGAGGGGCTACCTGAAATTCTACCAGAACCAATTTCACGAGCGGGCTGGTTCTGCCCGCGTTGAACAGGATATGACCTTTTTAGAATTGTCCAAAGACGGCGCCATCCGCGATTGGATCGAGATAATTCCCCTTGACTCGTTCGAACACAACAGGAGCCTCAGGCGATCGCCTAAATTTAGCCTCTGGATGGGCCAGAAAAGCTAGAGTTTTGGCTGCATCTACATACTACCACTGACCAGCAATCTCCTCCGTCCTCATTGTTACCATTTTTGTTTCCTGTACCTATTCTTTTTCATTTGGTCCACTTTGTCTTTTCATTCATATTGAACCTTGAGATTTGAGTGGATAAGAACCTACCCGTTCAAAGTCTTTTGATTTTCTAGCCTACAATGCTTTTCTGAGTAGCTGACCACTTCACCGCCAGTTCTGTTGCAGTTGAGATTGTTATTTAAGATTGCTCAGTGAATGTTTAGTAAATTTGAATCAAAAATGAAGCAGATTTTTTTTTTCTCTCATTAGTCCTTCAGGAACCAGTCAATACATCAGATCAATCTCGGTGGTGAATTCCGAACCATTTTAGTGCAAGTTAAGCCAACAGAAACCCACCGAGGATGATTCTTTCACTCTGTTGGCCGTGATGTTTTGCGCGCGAGTTTCAATAATCGGCGATTCAACGCTGGACGAGAGGATATATGTAGTTGTTAGTATCGCTTGTGACAAATATGATTTGATCCAATCCAAAAAAGATGTTTCACTTAGAAAGATGATTCCATTCCCATCTATCGCCTCATCCACAAGATAGAATTTGAGACGAGCTTCCAATAGGATCATCGTTACAATTATTATTTACAACGTGCATTTATGGAAACAAAAGCCAGAAGGCAGAGGGAATACGGGGAGAAGAATGGGAGCTAGAGGAACCAGTAGAGTACATACACTTGATGGATCGTTTAAGCACAAGCTTATTTGTATCCAGAGTATATCTATTACAAGTCGAATTCACCAGTTTGAAAAGATAGGAAATGATTGATAGTTCAATGTGGGTGAATCAGGCAGCATATCTAGTCCACGTGCCTCTGGTCATCCAAGATTCTTTCTGTTGGCCAAGTAATTGCTTTCCATTAGCGTCTCTAGGTCCGTAAATACTTTGAAGGGTTGTGGAGGATAGATTGACGAGGCTCTGCTGGGTCTCCTTCTGTATTTCGGTCGTGATTTTTGAAATTGAGCTCGAGTTGATGTTTGGAGAGGGCTGAATGGAAGCTTGTTTGTCAGTGATAGTTCTGATTTTCTTGTTCGACGACTCTTTCGGTTGGTGTTCGTCGTCCATGGTTTCTTGATCAGTCGGTTGAGCTTTTTTACGTTTCTTCTGCTCCTTTCTCTCGAGTTTCCGTCTATCCTTCTCTTCTTGCTCTTTGACCCGTTGTTCCAAAACTTTGAATCGCATCTCTTCCTCCTCTTCTGCGCTGGGATTAACGGTGATTGATTCGGTAACCGTCTTCCCACACACTGGACAATCGTTCCCGTCCACCTGCTTCAGGCCGGGCTCTGTTAAGATGCACCCACAATCAACAAGACATAACCATTTCAGCTCGCACTTTCCAATCCCGATTCCGAATTCCTTGAGACTGATTGGGCAGATCCACGAGTTGGATTGTGTGTTCTTGGTCAGTTGGACGTTGATCACATCTTTCAAGCTCCTCAAGTGTCCAGCGACCTGCTTTCCATCTTGACCGAAATGATTTTGATCTATCAAGAACTCCAAAACCGATGATTTGTTGTACAGTTTTCCTAAGCGGTCACAGACGATTGGATCTTCTAGTTTTTGCTGATTGAATGAGACATTGTCAGATCAGTTTCTACGCAAGCCAAAGCCATTGAAACGACTTTTGGGGTTAGGCAGTAGCAGGTTACCTTAGAAAGCGAACACTCCGTCCATTTGGTGCTTTGTTTTTCTTGCTCGTCAACCCTACCCTTACTCGCTCGTGTCCTGACCAGGTCGTCACGTTTCGGGATCGAGCCACCATCTGTGTGATGCCATCGAGTAGTAGAAATCACATGTAACCCAAATCAGTTTCTGCAGCTCATAAGAACGGTAGTTCAAGACGACGTACCGTTTCCCATATTGATTGGTTCTTTTTGTTCGAGGTCGCTGATTTGAGATGGATAGGTTGATGGTCTTTGGTGTTTTTATTGTTGTAACGCTGACTGTATAGTAGGTCGTAGTGCGTTGGTGGTGAGTTGGATGTCCGGGAGCACAGGCTGTGCTTTTAATAGGTGGCTTATGTAAGCAAGTCAGAAAGCCCTTTCTGACCGGGCAATTGCCATGTCCAATTGACTTTCTGCCGAAGAGTGGACTTGCCCCTTTTTTTTGTTTATGAAAGAACCAGTTGACTTTGAACATCCAAGAAGACGTACTACAACTATCCATCCAGTATCGAGAAACGAAAAAATAACGAAACGGAGGAGTAGAGACTGGCCCAGAAGGCGGTCAACTAGCCAAAATGTACTCGACCCCTCCAATCAAACCAGTTCTTTGTAAAATTATTATTGAATGACAATCACAGAAGAAAGACCTGGATGGAACTGACCATCCGATTGAGTGACTTTGTCTTAGGTCCCAAATCGACAAACTAGCAATACGCGGGATTAGAAGCTTCGATAATCAGTCAATAGCCGTCATTCAATTTTATTCTCCACTAACTGTCATCGTTGGTCACAATGGGAGTGGAAAAACCGTTTGAGTCAACTCATCAAAAAATTGCAGTGCATCGATCAAGCCGTAATTTACTAAGCTGATATATCCTGAATGTCATATCCAGACAATAATCGAGAGTTTAAAATACATCACAACCGGTGATTTGCCGCCCAACACTAAAGGTGGTGCATTCGTACACGATCCTTCAATTGCTGGTGAATCCGTGGTGATGGCCGAAGTCTTACTAAGGTTCAAGAACCTGGCGGGGGCCAAGTTAATCGCAAGTAGAAGACTACAGGTGTCCAAGAAGAAAAATACCGCGCTTACAATGAAAACACTCGAGGGCACTCTATCCTACAATGATGATAGCTCTGCTCCCAACTCGAAGGTCTGGGTTACCCTCTCTCCACTCCACGCTCACATAGACAAACGCGTAACTAAAGCTTTCAGAGCGTCCGTGTATCTATGAGTGTTAACAGAGAAGGACCATTTCTACCAAATGCGCCGAGATGGATTCCGAAGTACCGCGACATCTAGGTATCTCGAAGGCTATCCTGGAAAATGTCATATTTTGTCATCAAGAGGAGAGTAACTGGCCGCTATCTGAACCTGCAAGTTTGAAGAAAAAGTGCTGTTACCTTTCATCATTCTTTTTCTTGACAGAGTCCGAGTCGACCAAATAACCAAAACTGACTCATGATATGGATTTCCTTTGGGGACTTGGACGTGTAAAATTGAAATCATAATTGAAGATTTGACGAGATTTTCGAAGCTACCAAGTGTGGTTCTTTCCATTTTCACTTACGCCCCCACAGGCATATTTTTCAATTAGTTGATAAATGCTGATTCTCAATCATTTTGTTTTGTGACCTCTCTGCCGGCATGCATTAGGTACACCAAAGCTTTAGATAATATCAAGTCAATCAAGAAAGAAGCGGCCGTCGAGTTGAAAGTTGACAAAGAAAAATACGCTGCTCTGGTAGTTGACAAGAATCGGGCCGAAAAAGTAACTCCATTCCCTCATTTTAATTGGGCTCACTTGTTACTAACTACAGCATTGTTATCAACAGCTTCAAAATACCATCGACAAACTTACGGCCGGCATTTCAGCCAAAAAAGAACAATACAAAGAGTTGGAAATCAAGGTCAAAGACCTGGGTGAATCGAACAAATCGTTCTATGAGCAAGCTGCTCGGTTTCACCAGGTTGTCAACGAGCATTCTACACTCTCCGACAAAAAAGCAAATAAAGCCAAAATTGCCGAAGATCTCAAGGAAGATATGGTGGAAATGGCTGACTGTAAGTTGTTTCTGCAAACTCACCTTCTGCGAGCACCTCTGATATCATTTTTACTCGGAATAGCAACTATGTCGCAATTACATGAACAGCGAGAGCAATCCAAGAGTAGTTTATCCAGTCATACTCAACGTCTAGCGAGTGCCAAGTCAGAATTAGCGACAGTCGAAGGAGAACTTACGAAATCTCGCCATAAGCACCAAGCCAAGCTCACCGAATTCGGTCAACTCAAAGCTCAAGCCCAAGTATGTGCGGGAGATACCAAGACGTCTTCTATATCCCTTGACTTGGGTCCATGCGGACATATTTGATCTGATCGATATCTGGTTTGGTCATGACAGAGAAAACTGGCTGCGCTGGGAGAGCGACAGAAAATTATAGTCGACGTCAGTTCAACGCATAATATACCCGAATTCCAGCTGGAAATAACGAACGAATATCAAGTTACCGAGTTTTTTAACTTACTGAGAGATCGCCAAAAGCTTGTCGTCACTAAGCTTCAGAGCACCAAGGTAAAGCACAAGCGTTATACAATCATACCCTTAGTGATAAAAAAAGGAAATACAACCATTAATATTATAAGTTTTAGACCGCAGGTAAAAAAGCTGAGGAAGAAAGACAAACGGAAATATATGAGCTGAAGAATCAAAGAGGAGCTACTCAACAGCAAAAACAAGCTTGTTCGGATCGCATGGTATGTATGATACGACTCTCTAGCATCCTATATCTGACCTTCTGTCGTGCTAAATCACGTGAATCTCGGTCAGAGCGTGATTAGAGTAAAAATTCAAAACTTGATGGATCAGATTGGAGGGATCAAAGTGACTAAAGGTGATATCAAATACTTATCAGAGAATCTCGAAGCTAAACTGGAGAGTTCGAAGAATCTCAAGGAAGAAAATGAAAACGCCGGTCATGATCAAAGGATCAAAGCAAAGCAGGAAGGCATTAGACAGTTGGAAGATGCACGGGAGAACCTTCACGCTGAACTAGTTGGACTAAATCGTGAATCCGATACTCGAGCCAAGCTTTCGTTGAAACGTTCCGATGTTATGAGGAAGCAGCAGGGAATCGAGGCTTTGTTGAGTATTTCCGAATTTTATTTGAATGTTTCGAAATGTAGAGCATGCGCTTGCAGTTTGGTTTGCTCACAAGTGTGGATTCAATCACACAGGATTGAGGAACACGGGGCGAAATTTCGAGAGTTGGTGAAGATGGAGTTCGCGCCCAAGACTGCTGAAAAAGAGATTATCAGCGTTCTCCGGTAGGTAAAACCACCGCTGATTGATATATGCGATGTTCACTAATGCTCCCGTGATTAGTATGACGGAGCGTACTCTATCAGAGGCCACCCAACATTACACTAAGGTGACGAAAGACATGCAAACAAACGAGACTAAATTACAAATGAACAAGTCGAACCTAGCGTCAACTGAGGCAGAGCTTGAGAGTCCGTCTCCTACTTTTTGTTGACTTGTTTCATATTTCATCATCATGATCTCGAGTATTCTGCTTAAATCACGCACATTCTCATCTGATGCCCTCTAGCTCTTGAAAAAAAGATTAACCGCGTGACGAAAGGTACATCGCTCACCTCAGGGATTAGAGATACAGAATTGGAAATTCAAGATCTGCAGAGGTACGAGTTTCATTTAGAAATGCAGCTAGGCTGAGCCCATGACTGAACTCTTACTTGTTTCTGGGGATTAAAGGGATCTGAATGCCGTTGGGTTTCTTGTCGCATTTCATGAGAAACTACTCAGAGATTCCAAAGAGCCCAATAAATGTGGAATTTGCCACCGTATGTTCAAGAATGAAGAGGAAATGGCCGTTTTCGAGCGCCACGTAAGTATTAATTGCCTGTTCAACCTTCTAATTCAAATGAAAAAACATGGAAAGCGATGATCCACAACATCCTTGGACGTGTTCTTGACCAATGGTAACCGACAGTGCCAAAATACGATCGACAGACAACCTGCTGAAAAAGTCCAAAACGAGACAAAGCTACAAGGTTGGAAAGCTCAATTGGAACGCTTCAAGAAGATTTTGCCTTTGGACATATCGGCAACTAAGCTTCGAGATACAGATATAACAAACTTGAAAAAGGAAATAAGCACCCTTGAATCACAATTTGACAGCGCTAGCCGAAAGGTGGAAGAAGTTACGCATCAATGTTTTGAATGAACAAACATATGAACCTGGGTGTGCTAATTCACACCGAGCTATTTGCATCTCTTTGCTTTTTGACAGGCAAAGATCAAGGTAGATAAACTGAAAGATCTGATCGGTGAACTCGAAATCTGCAAGCGCTCTGCCGCAGATGCGAGTAGAATGTCTGAAGAAATTGATGAACTCCAAAATGAAATCAAGAACCTTGAGAGAGATTTAGAAAGCTCGGGCACCAAAAGGACAGCAGACCAGGTTCAAGAAGAGCTGGATGATCTGCAATTACAAATGTGAGTTTGCTCCGAGTTGAATGTTAGGCCCTGTAAGGATTTACTTAAGATAGTATCTGAATGATTCTGAAAGTGGGGAATCGAAGAGAGAGCTTGAGTCCCATATTGCCGACCGGGACAGGAAACGGATGGCGATACACAACCTGGAAAGCGAAATTCACCAGTTGGAATTGAACTTGAATTCGAAGCGGCAGCAAAAGAAAGAAAGAGACAATTTCGAAGCTCAGAGGGAGGATTTCAAAAAAGAAATTGCTGACCTCGAACAGAAGACAAAAGTACATTCATTTACTATTTTTTCGCATGTTACACTCACACCACGAAACGACGCAATAGTACAAACTGACTATCGTGAACCCCTAACAGGAAATTGAAGAAACATTGAAGAAATTTGCTGAACCTTTACGGGCCAAGGAGATTGAGTTAGAAGAGATACGTGCGGAAAATGTGGCTGCAGAAGCTGAACAGACAAATGAACTCCAAAGTTACAATAAAAGTCTGAGTCGATTGGAGACTATCAATAGTGAAATCCAAAGGTGCGTCAATGTAAAAAAAGGCTAATAAACACGGCTGGATTGAGTCGAAATCTAACGACTGCGTGAATCCTGTTTGGCCGGTTTGGATATGAAGATTTAACGAAATGGATATTGGTGCAAATTCTGAACGCTGTCAACGAGAAATTCAAGCACTTGTCGAAAAAATCAAAGCGATCACCCAACAGATATCGAAACTGCAAGACGATTTACAGGCGTTGGATAAAGAGCAAGACCGGGCAAAAGCGCTCGAAAGGAATATTACTGATAATATTCGTTACCGAAACTATAAACTCGAGATTCAAGAGTTGGAAGACAAAATAAGTAGAATAGACGTTGGAAAGGCGAGAGAAGCTTGCCAAAAATATGATGCCGAGTATCACAAAGCAGAAAAGTGGTTGGCCGACCTCAAAGCTGAAGTCAGTTTTTCTTCTTGCTTGGCCCTTCGATTCGTAATCTAGCCGTTCAAGTTCTTTTCATTTTTTTTCCTGATATTGTTTCCAGCAAGCTAAACTCGGTGGAGAGATCGGGATGGATAAAAACAATTTGAAAGAAAAAATGGAAGAAAGGGAATCTGATTTTAAGGATATCATCAAACGACATCGGGCCCAGCTAGTCAAAGTTAAGGTTAGGAATCCATCTCGTTCGAGATGGTGGCTAAACGAGTTCTGCTTTGATTGAATGAATCTTTTGCTTCGTTTCTGGGGGGTATCAAAAGACTGTCGAAATCGCAAATCAGGATTTAGATAAATACGCTAAAGCTCTCGACCAAGCAATTATGAAATATCATTCTCATAAGATGGCTGAGATAAACGATACAATTCAGACCTTGTGGAACAAAACTTATCAGGGAACAGGTTAAGTGGTCAAGCTCCTCCAATTCCTGCTTATGAAATCCAACTTGCAACTAGGTGGAAGGGCAACTCGGGATCTTAATGAGGTTGCTTGCTGATATTATTTTGTTATTTTCCTTGGTTGTGTAGACATTGATAACATTTCAATCAAGTCCGAAAACGAAAACGCCAAGAGCAATCGATCTTACAACTACCGAGTAAGTCAATGGCTATTTCTTTTTTCAATTTATAATCTCAAAGGTATATTCTAACAAACACATCGGCGCAATAGGTAGTAATGATGAAAGATCAAGTCGAAATGGACATGAGGGGTCGTTGCTCTGCTGGCCAAAAGGTTTTAGCGTCGATCATCATCAGATTAGCATTGGCTGAGTCATTTGGGACCAATTGTGGCATTCTTGCCCTCGATGAACCTACCACTAATTTGGATAAGGAGAACATTGATGCATTGGCCAATTCCTTAGCTGAGTAAGAATTTTCTCCCTCTTTCTTCATGTTGCTGTTTTGGATGCGGGTTCTTTTTGCAAGCAGGACACTTACTCGTATTTTCTATTTGTACATTCAGAATCATCAAAGAGAGAAGGGATCAGGCAAATTTCCAATTGGTAGTTATTGTAAGTATTTTTATCATCTTGCTTGAGATTATCATTTTCCTCCTCTATGGACGTTCTCATCAGAAGCTCAACATGCTTTTTATCAACAATTGAATTGATCAATCCTTCTTTCCTAAAAGACCCACGACGAAGATTTTCTGAATAGATTAGGTCAGGCTGATGTTTTGGACAAGTACTGGTGAGTTTCTCTCGTATCCTTTCTCAAAACAAAGAGACTCGTCCTTTCACTAAAAAAACTTTCTTACCTTTTGCACAATTCACTTTGTGATTATCATGAAATGGAATGCAGGCGTGTCAGTCGAAACCAGCAGCAAAAATCGATCATTGAACGACAGCGGATGATCTAAACTGTTCCCTAGGCTCTCTCTCTCATTTGCTCTAGACAAGATATCCTGAATTCCCTTGTAATCTATCCAACAGAGAATTGTGTTTCTTCCCTGCAAAGTTGACCAGTTTTCATTTTATGCAGGACTCAATGACTATTACAAGTTTACCATGAGTGTCTTTTTTCAATATATGTATCTTATGTCAAGACAATTTATATCATGATGGCTTTTGTGACTGGCATGGGGTACTTGCTGAGTTCTGAAGATATTTTTTTTTGTCTCTTTGTTGCTGAGAAGTGGCAATTTTATTGGATCAAAGCGCTCATCCAATAGAGCCTGGACACCTTCATCTCACATTGTAGGAGGCAGTGACATTTGCTGAAGAAACTCACATATGAACTGTCTGGTTCATCCATACCTAAGGACATCTTCAATTGAGACTGATTCAACACAAAATCCAAATGGCAAGAAAATTGAATCAAAATAATTGGAAATGTGCAATGTAAATGAGAGGAAAATCAAAGGTTTTTATATTTGGGCCACAGTTTGAATGAAAGTGGTCACCCGATGTATGAGAGTCAGTCCAGTGACCCCAGAAGCCAATTCTATTATGGACCTGGAGCGGCAGACCGTTGCTGGGGGGTTATTGGATACAAATCCGGTGTATGTTGAGCATTGCAATCATGCTTCTTGATGATAAACAATCTATACTGGGACACACCTCAGGCAGCTTAGCACTTTTTCTGCCGGTCATCTTTGGAACTCTGCCTGATGGCACTGGCAGAGGGATGTTTTTTTTGCTAATTCTGTTGCTCCAATTGCAAAGTCCATGCTGGACGGTGGTGATTGGCAGCTGTGAGGATTGAGCTGAACTTGAAGGGTTGTGCTTCATATTGACTGTGATTCAAATCAGGTCTTCTTGATCATGAGCTGATTGGTAGGTGTAGCAGCTGTTCAATTGCCTGGTAAGGCTCTTTCTGGAATGCTCAGGGTGCCCTTGCCAGCCATAAGAACCAAAAACCAACACAAAAATTGTTTTGTTGTTTTTCTAAGCTGACTCAGCTTTGGGATTGGTTTGTTTGGCAGCCGTCTCAGAGCCAGCTTAAGCAACCTCTCTGGAGGTGTTGCGGGGCAACACTTGTAGAGAGGCCCAAAGTTGGGTTGTGGGCCTGGCAGCATTTAAAAAACACTCATTTCGCCTCTTTAAAATATTTCAAAATATATTGGATCCCCTTGTCTTGATTCAAATCAACAGAATCCTTGTCCCCACCGTTGTACTTCTTTGATGCTACTAACTTAGCAAAGGAAGCTCAGCTGTCTAGTTACAAACGAAAAATTTATTGGGATGCTCTTTTTTTCAATGCAATTTCCAATTGCAATTTGTGGCATAGGACCATTGAGCTTTATTGACATATCTTTTTTCATGTGAGGAGTCAATTCCTGTAATGCACTATCCAAGATTGGTAAGGTCAGATTGGGAAGCAACCAATTTCACAGCCTCTTGATGATAATTATTTTTGATGTTCCTCAAATTTTGATGCCGATAAAGTGAGTGCTGGCTGAGATAGGTCTGGATTGATTTCCTCAAGTTCTTGGCAGACTTTTGCTAAATGCCTGTAGTCTTTTGAATAAGTTTAGTTGGAAAAAAAAAGACTTCAAGGCAAATTGAATTAAAATTAGATTTTTGATTTAGATTATGGGTTTGGAGTCCAACAGGCAAGGTGGCATCTCCAAGAACTGGAAATTTCAAAAAAAAAAATATAGTTTCATTGATGTAGCTCAAAAACTGTGTAGGCCATGATGTCGGCAAGATGCAGGCCATTGCCTTAAGCAAAAATAAAAATAAAGCTTTTTAAGGTTCATGAGGTGTGGGTTGGAAAAGGTGTGCTCTACACCAAAGTTATTTCCTGATCACAGGCACCAAAACCAACTTTGCTTGCAAGTCCCTCTACCAATGGTAGAGGCAACCTCCGGTTGGCCTCCGGCCCCTCTACCCTAATTGGTATGAGGGACTTGTGTCAAGTTTGGTTGCAGAGCATGAACTTGTCAAGAAACTCCCAGGCAATTTTAAGAGGGATGTGAGTTCAAATGTCTCTTGACTTGACTCAAGGGAGGAATACCAAGGCAGGGAAGGATGGCCAACTTGGACCAGTCCAACCAGTCCAATAACTTCTTTAGATCCAATTTCACAAGTTAACCAACCTGCCCTGGAGGCAGGCTCATCTGTTGGCTGGCCTGCAGCTGCCACCTTTGGCTAGTTGAGTGGGCAGCTTCTTTATTAGTTTTTATGAATAGCAGACAATCCCAGCACTCATCCTCCAGACCTTATTCCCCACATCACCAAAAACAGAAAACAAGTCACTTTCAAGATCCTGTCAGACTGAACCTGCAAAATTACAGGTCAGCACTCCTGCAAAATGATTTGGTTTCCACATTTTTCAAATTTTCTTACAATGTTGCTCCTTTTTCTTCCTCTTCTAAATAAAATTTTTTAGGTCTTTGCTACTACTGTCAACCTGCTTGTTCTTAGTTGGTTTATCTTTCCTTTTGAACACCTTTGCATCAAGTGATATATTTAACTCGAACTGTCATCCACCAAAATTCCACCAATGTTTGCCAGTCAAGAATAAAAATCAAAACTTTCCAATAAAGCACATTGCCTCTATCTGATTTGAAACCTCACTTGCTACCTTTTCACTTCTTTTTTTCATGTAGAATTTAATGAAGTCACCAAGCAGCTGAAACAACTAAAGGACCAGATGGATCACCGGTGGGCACTGGAGCACCTTGAGAAGATGTTAGCACAGGACCTGCAGGATTGCTGGTTGGCACTGGAGTGACTTTCAATCTTGTGCCAATGTCTTCTCAAGTTGCCCCAGTGCCCACCGGTGATCCATCTGGTCCTTTAGTTGTTTCAGTTGCTGGTGACTTCATGAAATTCTACATGAAAAAAAGAAGTGAAAAGGTAGTTAGCAAGTGAGGTTTCAAATCAGATAGAGGCAATGTGCTTTATTGGAGGGTTTTGATTTGAAGTCTAAGAAGATGAAAGAAAGGGAAAAGGATTGTCTGCAGGGGTTTGTGTTGGTAGTGGTAATTACTTATTGTAACTGATTCTGTTAAACTTGGCTTCCAAGATCTTGACGCCATCAGGAGTGAGGATAGGTTTAGAGAACTTAGCATAACCGTTAAGCCCAATGAGCTGCTCTGAGGAATCAGAGTCCACAACATCATCATTGTCAGTATTGAAGGGCTGGTTATCAGCCTTGGGCTTATTAGAGGTTGCGCTGGTTCTGTTCTATTGTCTGTTTTTCCTTGAGACTCTTCCAAAACTTCTGACTCTCCATCCAAAAGAAAACCAGTCAACCACGTAAGAAAGATAAAAGTACTGAACATTTTTATTTCAGTAAGAAGAGAGAAGAAAAAAAAATAAGTTATTCATCAAGAGTATCCAGTCAAATACAATAACGACTATCCTCATCATCTGCAGTCATAAAACCACTATCAGGAGGACCTGTGAGAGAAGCTCTGATACCTCTACTACAATCCGCCGTCGATTCATATGGATCTTTGGCATCATTCCCATCAGCACGACTGACCATGCTGAACTGAATCAGTGTTGTGAGAGGACACACTTCAACACATCTCGAGGGTTCTATTTGCATCATCCTTGCAGCTTGTCACACTACAAACTTAACAAGGTCCCTCACTTCGGAGGGCCTGGTAGGAAATTGTCAAATGACAATGAAACTGTTGTGATTGTTTTTTTGGAAAGAAAAGAAAAGAAACTGAAATAGATGGCTTCACAGTACCCCCAGCAAGGTTGTGCCTTGCCGACCATTCAAGGGGTGGGTATCCGTGGATACCCGCTGTGGCCACCGGATACCTGCCAGCAGATGCAGATGGCTATTTCCCTGGAAAAAGCCTCCGGATATCCGGATGCGCCGGGGCCATCTCTAATCAATGTAATCTTCTACTAAATCAACTTTCACCCATACAACTGATTGATAAAACTTCTTTTGATTTGAGTTTGATTGTCCCTCTAGTGATTCTGAGTGAGAGAAATAGAGAACTAAAGTTTTACCAATTGTTTCCAATTCTTCAAAATCCAACTTGGTTCTTGCTGTTAAACTAGAAGATGATTTTTGGAAGAAGACATCCGCGTTGTTGATCCAATTTAATCAAAACTTGATTGGATTACCTTTGCGCCCAATGTTCTTGGTATCCAAAGCAGATTTGATCAAGCCGGTCAATGATTGATGATTGTGACCAAACACGCCTTCAAACATGATTGCCAGGATTTGGTTTGGGCTGAAAGCTATTGATAGCTCACGTGCCCCAATGACCAAAGAAGATCCACTTGCACTCCCAGGGTTACGGAGGAGCAGAACTCCTGAAACAGAGAAGACGGAGGTCTTGTTTGGATCAGGATTATTTGTATGAGCTTCTGAAAGCAAAATCCTTTGCAAACAAGAGCTAGATTCTTTAACAAGTTTGACAGTAAATTTAGGTTCTGCAGTAATTGAAATATACATTTTTAGTTAGTTCCAGCAAGGTCAAGACAGAAGACAAGAAAGTATGGTTTTACAAAACTTGACTAATGATCTCTGGTTTGATCCAATAATAGATGACAAAATCAAGAAGAAAAGCTTGGTTGAGTTTACTCAACGGAGAGATAATGAGTGCTTTTTTGAATGTTCTTGAAAGGGAAACCTATGTGTTTTTCAGTTATAACTTATACCACTAAACAGAGAAGATAATGATGACTTGATTTGATATGGTGAAGTTGAAGGCAGAGGCTAGTAGGAAAAGAATGATGTAATCATTCAAAGAGCCAGAGAAACAACTGAGCAGAAATATGCAAGCTGAGCTTGAGGAGTGACTTACTTATTGGCGATCCTGACACAATGAGTGGGAAAAATTCCAATAGTTAAGGGACTCCAAACAATAACACAACAGTGATGTATCCAAGTTGAGGTTGGTGATTCTGGTCTGAGTTGGTTTCTGGGTGGGTCTGAACCTTGAAGATCCTGAAAATGAAAACTCAGTATCCCCTGAGAGAATTTTCATCGCTGGATTAGATAATCACAACATGTACATGTGGTAGAGAGAATTAGAATTCTAACTTGGTTGATATTTCACAAGGTACGGTGAAATATTACAAAGTCTATGAAGGAGAAGGGTAGTGTAAAAGTGGGTAGTGATAACTAAGCTAAATTCAGCAGAGGAATTAATTTCTAAAGTCAGAATTAAATAAAAGATTAAGATGAATTAGTTACAGTAGGAACTTGAGACATTAAATACTTGTACATATTTATTTGTAATGATATTTGACTGTGAAAATACTGTACAACATGCAAAACTTGTGGTACAGGTATTTCACCGGTAAAGGGGTGAAAGTTGAGTAATAGATACTTATGTCAAGGATGCAACAGATCCAATCCCCGGATCGGTATTTATTGGGGATCGGATCGAAAATGGACCCAATACTGGGTATCGGTATTGGATTGCTTCACCCAATCCAATCCCAATGTATTGGACAACTGGGATCGGGTGGAGCAATCCGATACCAATACCTGTTATTGGGTCCATTTTCGATCCGATCCCCGATAAATACCGATCCGGGGATCGGATTGCTTACAGTTTGGATGATACCCAAGTGTAAGGCATACAGCCCGCAGCATTTGGGTGCCGGATCGGGATTGCAATGCAATACCGATCCCGATCCGATACCATTTCGATACAATACCATGGGATCGGATCACCCTTAGCGATCCGATCCCTTATTTTTCGATACCTGGTATCGAAAAATTGATCCAATCCGATAAACGGCCAATACCGTATTGGATCGGATCTGTTTCACCGTTGTGGTAATTATTCCTGTGTTTCTACGCCAAAAATATAAAAATTTATTATTATCTCTCTAAATATTGAAGATATGGTAAAAATGACATCAAAAATGGAATCTTCAGGTAAAATAACCCCTAGTCACTCACTACAACTAACCCCATATCACTCATAGTTTAGAAGTTACACAGATTTTAACCTATCACAGGATATTTCTTGGATTCTTTAATCTGACTATAGCTCATTTTGAATACTGGATGCATATTTCATATTCAATTCCTTTGTTTCATATTGAAATCCTTTACTTGGCTTATATTTCATATTGAAATCCCTTTGTAAATGCATATTCATTCTTTTGTAGTATGACCTTGTAGGCTAGCCATAATCCAGTAAAGTTGTGCTCTCATCAGCTAAATTTCCCTCACCTGCTTGTTTTATACTTAATAAATTTCCCTCATTGTATATCAGGCATCTTAATTTCCCTCTCCCTGGATGAGCTCGTGGAGCTAAACCCCTCACTTTTGGTCTATTA